ATTCAAATGTCATAGTACTTTGTGGCACAGTAATCCCGCGATCACATTTTTTCAGTCATCAATCGATTTGGGCCCTTGTATGTAATATTTTTTAAAAATTAGGCCCTTATATGTAATTATTTTTAATTTGGGTCCGTATTTGTAATTATTTTCACTTTCCGGGCCCTTATTTGTAAATTCCCCTAAAAATTATCACATAAAAAATGCATAAAAAATTTATGAAAAATGTATAAAAACATAAACATCCAATAAATATCCTTTAAAATGTTCGGAACGGAGTCGATTTTTTGAATAAAAAATTGGATAATTTCAGAATTTCCGAACAATTTCAAGAGATTTTTTTTATAGGGTATACCTAATAATAAAATATTAGTAACTGCATTATACGATTTTAATTACACATTATCGTAATTTCTGCCTAAAGTAATTACAAATGGTAGGAATTATAAAAATGTAGATCGAATGCAAAATTGATTTTATTACAAATATTTCTGCAGAATCATTTAATTTAATCCATTTGTGCTAAATGGTACAGCATTATAGTTCCAAATTAGTTTTAACCCAAACTAATCCTAGCATATAAAAAAATATTGTTTATTTTGACCATTTGAAAATTTTTATTCTTTGCTTAAAAATTTACAAATGAGAGACCCTTTTTTGATAATACATCACACAAATCTAATTTTAGTTTTAAAAAGGTACAATCTATTTATTGAGCAGTAATGATATATATGTTGTGCCTCATATTAACACTTGCTTAGGTGTCAGCTGAATAATGATAATTTAACCAGAATTAACGGATCAGCCTAAACTATAGTTAAATCCTAAACCTTAACTCAGGCAAAGGCAAGATCTTACTCAAGTGTTAATCTGAAGCACAACATATATCTAATTCGTATTTTGTATACAATATTTATATTTAAACGTTTACCTATGAATTTTTTAATTAACATTTAATTTCATCAACTTTTTCTGCAAGCTCAACTTAATTGTTAAATATATCTATAGTAATTTATACGATAAAAATTAAAAAAAAATGGTTCAAAATTTAAAAGCCAGATTTCATGAACTTTTAATTATGGCTGTAGTAGTTTTGGCATTCATAATACAAGGTTAGTTTATGATTAACTCAACTAGCTTTTATATATGTTCTTGAGATTATTTAATTATTAATTATTTTTAATCAAATATAATATAGCCAAAGCTCAATCTCAACCTCCAAGTCAAGTGGTTATTACAATTACTTCGCACGCTAGTTCACCTACCTCTGATTCCAAGTCTGAGGAACCATCAATATCATTAGATGGTCTTAAGTCTTTAATTATTACAGCTTCATGCGTGGCTGGAATTGTTGTTATTACAGTAGTTATATGTATAATTAGAAAGATAGTTAATAAACGCCGTAGACGCAAAGGTGATAGTAATTATAATGATGATTCTCACAATGGTGATGGGAAGGGGTATACAAATCATAATAGTGTTGAACGAACGAGTAAACCAGGCGGAGATGCAGGCCATGGTGGTTATGGCGACACTGGTGATAAAAGTGATGGTGTTGGTGATAGTGAGCAAAGTCAAAATGGTCACAATCAAAGTAGCATTATTCAGCAAACCTTACATGTTACTTCACCAGGTTTACCTTTTCTACCTTTTATCGTTGATAGCAAGGATGAAGAGGAAAAAGAAGTTTCAAAAGTGGCAAGCGAAACAGAAGTTATTTTGAAAGTTCAAAGTGATAATGACAGCAGCGATAATAAATAACAGTTAAAAACAAGCACTAGTGAAACGTATTGATCAGGATAATGAAGATTTTAAATCATAAGTTTTAATATAAGCCTTTAAGAAATAATTTTACATACTGTCTATTTTTTCAAATCACAATTAACAATCTACTCAACGTTTAAATTTTGTATCATATTTAATAATAAATATATCAAATATATTTTTTCTAGTTTTTTTTTTTTTTTGAGCGCAAAAAATTAGATTTAACACTTTCAACTATGTTTAAGATTCCAAATTATTTGTGTTTTAAGTTGAATTTCCTAATCAATCTTCCAGGTAATCGTCGTATAGCAGTTTTGAACCTTATTATTAACTTACTTCGAAAATAAGTTGGGTTTAAAAACTCCTGCTGTATCTATGCCTTAAAATTCCGAAATCAGAAAATGAAATAAAATGTTTTTTAATGATATATTACGTTTTATCATACATAAAAATATAGAATTTATAGATCGCTCATTTCAGTCGAAATCAGATATTTGATCATTAATTCTGTATCATTATAATGCAATTAGTTTAGTATGCTAACCTAAGATTCGGCAAAAAAAAAATTGTAAACTCAGAAAAGGTTTATCTTTCATCAATAAATCTAGAATGATGATCTCTTACACCGTCCTACTATCATTATGGAACATTAAATATAGACTGCGATGTAAATTTTCCTATAATAGTTGACAATATTCATTTAAATTACTGTTGCATAACAATGTATGCTTAACGACGAAGTCCATAATCGGGCGACATATAAGGTGATATCCATTTACCAATTCATGATCATAAGTTGCATGACAGATAATAAGATAATTCGATTTAATGATCGAATAATTAATAAAATTCGAATTGAGTCATTCAATAAATATAGGAGATTAATTTTGCCGACACAAAAAAAAAAAAAGAGATACAGAAAATGAAAGTCTAAACTTATCTTGAGGTACCAGTAAAAAATGAGGGTGAACAATTTTACCATAATAATTATGCTAACATATATACTTCGATTTTGGTACTCAAATATGGATATTTGGCAAATGGGCCGGTGAAATTTGTTCATCTCGTATTACGTATACTTTTGTCAAAATTGTGTTCATATATAAAAATAATCTGAGCTAATAACGAGTATGAAACCTGTTTACAAATGATGTTTTTAAATTGGAAAATTGCACATGCATGCGTACATACAGTATAATGAACATGACAATAATGGTAATAATAACAATGCTAAATCAGCCTAAAATAGTAAATTGATTAGCCATAATGACAAAAGCATTGCTTTTTTACCGAGTTGTAAATCCTGTTATTTTTTTTATTGGATTTTTTACTTAGTAATAGGTAGTCTTCAACGTTAAAATGATTATTTTAAATCCACAGTTTTTACTAATTAAATTATAATTAAAAAATTTGTCTTAGCATCATGATAAACAGTCTCAATAAACAAACGTGAAAGTTCTAAACATCCGATTAACAAGTACACGTAAGAAGTTAAAGAAGAATAATAAAAGATGAAAACGTAATATTTAGTGGTTGTAACTTCGTATAGTAAAATAATAGAGCGAAGCTTACGTTCAAGTGTAAAAACATCCTAAAATTCTAAAAAACTTTTTGTCAAATCATTAAGTCACGCATCCGGTGAATTACTTAATTCTTCTTGCTTGTAAATTACACATTCGATCATCTATTTTTTAAGTTTGTGGTAGATTCCACCCGTTACAATAGACAATTATCGATATAACGGAAATCTGGGCAGCCCTAAAAGTTCCCTTATGCAGCACATTCGTTATATCTATATAACTTAATAGACTTGACAAATATTATAGATCAATTCAAGTCAGACCTTTTTAATAGCCACTAGAAAAGCGGCGACATTTTGTGGGCTGGAGCTCTAGTTATTAGTTCTTACACTTTAACTAAATTTAAAATAGTATTGAAATCTTTATCTTGCTATATATTATTTATAAGATTACATCTATAAAGAAAACAATTTTGTTTTTATTATTCTTTTTGTAAATGCATATTTGCCATAATACAGTCTTCCTCCTCTATAATCACACAGTTTGTATCAAGAAAATTGGTGATTATAAAAGAGTGTGATTATATAGAAGTCTTTTTTTATAAGTTTGTTAATAAATTGTCTCAAAAATTAATGTGATTATATGGGAGTTGTGATTATATAGGAGGTGATTATAGAGGAGGAAGACTGTATTTGTAATCTGTCAAAAGAAAAAGGCTCAATTAAAAAAAAAAGAGCAAATATACAGTAGGCTTCAAAAGTTTAGCACTTTTACATGAAATACATAACAAAATTTTGATATATAGTATATATGTTACGGGTTAAATTGGTTTTTAGGTCAAGTTAAACTTAACCCGGGTCAAATTGATCAATTAAAATACTCCAGCCGGCATCAACATAATTCCGGCCTGCTCTGACCCTAAAATTCTGCTAGGGATCAAATTGACCCGGGTCAAGTTTAACTTGACCTAAAAACCAATTTGACCGTAACATATACAAGTACAGTAATTCTTGATATAGAAAACCTTCGATGTAAGAAAAAAACTCTTGAAATAAGAAAGATTTCAAATTCTAATTGAAAATTTTGGTTAAAAAAAGTTTGATAAAGAAAATCTCAAGAAAAATTTTGTTTAAAAAAAGTTTGATAAAGAAAATCTCAAGATAAATTTTGGCTGAATCGGTGACTTTTTATATCATGAGTAAATTGTATTCATTAGTATTTTATCGGATTTGTATATTATTTTTTTATATAGCCATGATAAACTTTTGGAACCTGCTGTATGGACCTTCATTACATCTATAAATGTAATATCAGTTGCGAATTCTTTATTTTCCAGATTATTTATTGTTGTCCAAGCAAGACATAAAGAAAATTATGTGCAAGAACAGGTTCTTGGTTTTCCTTTCTAAGTATATAGTATTTTTAATAGTTGGTGCTATTTGGTTAGTTTTAATTAGAGTTATTATAGATAATGAAGGTGGTATTTGTGGTATTTATTAAAATTTATATATACTTAATCATCTAGGCTACATAAATATAATGTATAATTGGGTGTGGCGACTTAATGAAGTTGGTAAGTTATCGCATCCCCAAGCGGCAGGACAAGAAATTTGAATTTTATAGAATGTGTTACAGCAGACTGTGTGCAATCAAATGGATCGACAGATCTGTAGGCTTGGTCGTACCAGCCTGTACTGGGAGGCTGTAAAACATTAAAGTGACATATGAGTTACACAAATCCCGAGTGAAGCAGTTGAGTTAATCCAGAGGTTTGGAGTACATGGAAACCCACTTGGAAAGTTCTGAGTAGAGAGGTAGCACAAACTTTTGATGGTACTGTATAAAGAATTATCATCTGAAAAAATGAAAAAACTGAATGGGATCAAGATGTTTGGCAAGCACAGACCAACCAGGCTGCCGAGTTAGCATGAGAAAGAGTTTGCCCTTCTGGGCTATCTGGATTGGAAGTTTGGAGAAGTTAGAAGAATAATTAGTAGTTTGTATAGTGGGTGTTGGGGTTTGGGTAAACTTTACAAAGGTGGAAGTAGATAATAATAGCAGCTTCAGCTCACAAGTACTTGTCCTTGGACTTGGCTTAAGTTACTGAAACTAGATTAGCCAGATTGTGGGTATGGAAAGCTCTAGTAATGATGCTTTGAGGATAAAGTAGTTCTAAAGAAATGGGTCAAGAATCCAGAACTTCTTGACTGACAAATATAGCAAAGTTATAAGTTGTATTAAAGAGAGTTTAATTGGGTAATTCAAGTAATAGTAGGTTATAGATTTGGCATCTGGTGTAGGACTTAGCAATAGGGAACTACTTAATTAGATACTCAAAAGGCATAGATATGGTTAGAATATACTCTCTAATGTAAAAGAGGTTTTTTGAGGCTTTGGCTGCGAGGCTCTAACTTTAATACTTGAATAAAAACCTTAGTCTTAAAGAAGCTAGTTGTAAAAAAAAAAAAAATACTGTATAATGATAGTCATAAGTTATTATTACAAGTATCATCTATTTGATCTGTATAATCTGTAATGTTATTTGAAGATTAAATAGGTTTGGTGTGATTGGCAGTACATTTTTCCTTTATGCTTAACTTGAATTTGGCTCTTTTATATATAGCACTTTATTTCATGTCTTTGTATTAAAAAGAATTGATGGATGATATATATTGATCCTATTTTCCTTCAACAAGACCATTAGTTTGTGGATAATATAGCATGGATAAACTATGTTTCATACCTATTATTTCACAAAGAGCATCCACTATTTTGTTGCAAAAATGACTTCCTTGATCTGATAAGAGTACTTTTGGACTACTATGTCGACAAATAATATTGTGAAAAATAAAAAAGCCAACATTTAAAGCATCAGCAGTGGAAATAGTACAAGCTTCTGGCCATTTTGTAAAATAATTTGTAGCCACTATGATATATTTGTTTCCATAAGAAGTTATGGGTAAAGGACCGATGATAGCTATACCAATATATTCAAAAGGTAATCCAACCTAAATTGGGTACAAAGGTTCTTTGGTTTGTGGTCTTCTTCTCTTTTGACACGTCTCACAACTCTTAATATAGTTCTTAATATCTTACCCATTTGTGGCCAGAAGTATTTATGAGCAATTTTGTGGTGTGTGAAGTTGTATTAAAGTGTTTAGCCAGAGGATTCGAATGATAACTGTATAGAATAGCTTCAATCTTATTTTTCTTTAAAATTCTAAGGGGATGTCTTGAATCTTTGACGTTTCTTTTATATAATAATCCATTGAGTGCAAAATAATGTCAAGTTTGATGCTTATGTTTTTTTAATTTGCTGCTAAGTAAATTCTGAAGAGATGGTTGAATCACTAAGATATCTTAAAAAATGGTAATAGGTTTCTAATTCCATGGTTACTTTGATAATAAAATAAGTTGTATTATGATATAATAATAAAAGATAATTAATTTTCTGAGGTTATAATAAAGTGTAGATAAACTTTTGTGAATATTCGATATGGAGTAGACAGTTTTAGAGTATAAATTTCTCAATAAATTTTGAATATAAAATTTTAATTCAGGGTTGTTATAATAATAATGTAATATTATTAAGCTGGTAAGTATAATATAAAAGTATAAGTATAATTAGTATAGAGATAATCATACAATAATGACTTATTTTAAATTCTAGATAACACATTTATGTGTGAATGTGATTTATCTGGTCAGTGTTGAATAATATAATTAAATTTTTGAAGAGATAATATCTATTTAGCAATGCAATTTTGAGGCCTTTTATTTTTGAACATAGAAGTTAATGCCAAATGATCAGTAAAGACAGTGAATTTAGACCTATATAAATAATGTCTAAAATAAGAGACTACCCAAACAATAGTAAGATACTCTTTTTTAGTTGTAGAGTAATTTTTTTCTGTAGGTGTCATAGTTCGACTTGTATATGAAATAACCTATTCATTTTTATCCTTGTCTATTTAAGACAGTATTGTGCAAAGATCAAAATCAAAAGCATTGATTGACAAAATAAAGTCTTTGAAAAAATCAGGAAAAGCTAATATAGATGCAGAAATAAGCTTTTTTTTCAAAGTTTCAAAAGCTGTTTGTTGAGAAGTAGTCCAGATGTAATGAACTTCTTTCTTTAATAATTTATTTAGTGAAGCAGCTATTCTAGTGAATCCTTGTACAAATTAACGATAGTAAGATGCTAGGCCCAAAAATCCATGTAATTGTCAAAGATCACAAAGAACTAAAAATTCTTTAATGGCTTTAATTTTATCAGGATTAGTGATAATGCCTTCAGCACCTACTATATATCTTAAAAACTTCAATTTTTGTTTTGTGAAGAAACATTTGGAAGGCTTTAACTTAAGATTAGCATGCTGAAGTATTTGAAAAACTTGTCCAAGATGAATTAAGTGCTCTTTAAAAGATGATGAAAAAACATTGATATTATTCAAGTATACTACAACGAATTTATTATTGATATTATTAAAGATATTATCCATTAGTCTCTGAAAAGTAGATGGTGTATTAGCTAAACCAAACGGCATTACATTAAATTCAAAAATTTTATGTACTGTAATAAAAGCAGTTTTTTCTTTGTCTTTTTCATCCATCTCAATTTGCTAATAACTACTTATAAGGTCTAATGAAGAATATCAAGACGAACAATGAAGAGTATCTGATAAATCATCTATTCGGAGTAAAGGATAATTGTCTTTCTTAGTTACTGAATTTAAAAGACAATAATCGATATAAAACCAAGTCTTATCCTTTTGGTATACAAGAATGACAGGAGACATCCACAAACTCTTTGATGGTCTAATTATATTTTCTCTTATCATTCTTTTAATCTCTTCCTTAAAATAAGTTTTCTCTTTAGGGAATGTCTGTATGGACTTTGTTTTATAGTTAATGCTTTTTCAGGTTCAATATAGTGTTTAACTATCTCAGTTTTACCAAGGTCATGTGACTCATACGCAAAAATATTAGCATTATTTTGAAGCAACTTTTCTATTTCAACTTGTCGAGATAAACTAATCTCACCTATATTAAAAAACTATAACTTGAATTTTTTATTATTATTTTCGAAGTAGAATTCAAATAAGTCTACTATATCTTCATGAGTTTCAATTAAACAGTTAGTATAAAGATTAGAATAAAGTGAGTTATTATTATTAATAATGGAAGAAGAGGTAATAGAAGAATTAAGATTACTTAAATAATTTTCTATTTCTTTGTTAAGTTTATAAAGATCATTGAATTAACTATCTAATAAATTATTATTTTTAACCATTCAATATTGATTTTTTATATTATTACTAAATGCTACAAAGTTAAACATGTGATCATCAAGTTTCTCTTCCTCAAACTCATCTTCACTAATTTTACTAGATTCTTCAAATTCTTCTCCTTTCTCAACAACATCCACAATTTTTAAAGAACAAACTTTTTCCAAGAGTTCATGGCTCAAACGTCGACACTCTACAGGTATTATTATTTCTTTATCCTTCTATAACAATGTAATTTCTGAAGCATTTCAATCAATTTTAGCATATGCTTTAGTAAGCCAGTCATTCTTAACAATTGCTTGATATGAACTTGCGTTTGTCACTATGACATCAATAGGAATTTCAACACTAGCCACAAAAAAGGTGAATGATGAGATTTCACTAACTGCTCTTTTACTTTCACTATATACATTGATCATATTTATAGTAGATAGTCTTTCAACCTTTATTCCTAAACGCCTTAGCAAATGAAATGACACTACACTACCTGAAAACCTGCTGTCTACAATTAATAGGATAGATTTTCCCAGAACTTGTGCATCACAATACAATGCTGTTGATTTATGATCAGAGTATAGAATTAAATTATTTTTGATTTTTTCTTTATAATAGTTTTTTGTTTTTGCAATCCTTTAGACAATTCTACCCTCATTGAACGAATGGCATGTAATAATTGACCAAACGTTATATTAGCCAGTTTATTATGAAGGTCAGCAACAATAGAATATGGAGATACCAATGATGATATTTGTAAAAATATATCTTGATCATTCTTCCTTTGTGAGGTATTAGACTTCTTATCTTTCTTATTAGAATTCTTTGCTTTACTATTATTCTTTTTTCATTGGTCTGAGTAACAGTTGATTTTAATATAGAATCATTTTGAATATCCAGGCTTTTTGTTTCTAACCTAACATGCTTAGACCTCCTAGTATTATATTGTTTGAAATTTTCATTCGTGAAAAAGTGAGTATCATCCTCAGATATATGAACAAAGTTTTGGGTTTCATTTTGAACTTTATCAGGTTAATGTAAGTTAAGGTTATTTAATAAGTTCATTAATAATTGAAGAGTCTCCTGTTCATTAAGCGCATTAGCATTATGACTATTATTACGATTATTGTTATTATTGACACCATGCTGAGGACACCTGTTATTATTACCATAATTAGAACTTCCATTATTAGAATTATTAAAATTTCTATTATTAGATTGATAGTTCTTATTTTGATTAGAATGAGATATATTGTTATTAGGACAATGAGGAGCTATATAACCAGTATGTTCACAACTAAAACAAACAATATTAGAATGTGTTTGATTTTTAGTAAAATTTTTATTTTGATCTTTTAAATGGTGAAGCATATTATTGAGAGTTTCATTCAATTTTTCAATATCACTGTCCATGTCCTATACTGAAAAGAGAATTATATGAGTATGTAATTGTAGGATGGTTAAAATGATTATTATAAGGAGAATTCTGTTTGAAAGTGTTTTTAAAGGCTTTGGCTCTATCATAAGCAGATTGTAAAGAATTAAGAATAAAGGAAGCCACTGCTACTGATAACTCAGGATGTAATCCATTAACAAAAATTTGCACTTTAGCTATATTTGGATATCGAGCACCTTCTGCTTCAACATGTCTAAAGAGCTCAACTATAACAGTATAGTAAGTATCAACGGCTTCAAGAGAATATTGTTTTCTAGTAAATAACTTAGAAAACCATTTACTCTCCAAGGCTGGAGTCCAGAATTAAGTACCGAATTCAGGTTGAAAACTAAGATTACGATTATGAGGATCATTCCACAGATCAATATTTGGAGCTTGATTCCTTCATGTTAACCACCAACTTGCTGCTGGGCCTTTCAAATAAGAGATAATAACAGATAATTTTCTAGCATCAGTAACTTGGTTGGCCACAAAAGCTTTCTCTATATCCTCTAACCAAGAAATAGGGTCCTGTTCTCCACCAGTGAACTTTGGTTATGACACTATATTATTCTCTCTAACAGGGGCAGCTACATTTACTTGAGGTGTGGGAGTAGGCTTGATTTGATTAACGAGGTTGAAAATTTGATCAGCAAGATTATTAAGAGCTCTAGCTTGATCTTGAGGGTTCCTAACTATATTATTTTCAGAACTTTCAGAGGATGAATCGTTATTCAGAACTTCTATTACAGTGTCTTCGTCAGACTCCTCTCCAAGGTTTATTAAGTCTTCATCTTCAGATCCTATTTCTTCAATTCTATTTCCAGCAGCTTCTTCTTGAGGGTTGTCAGGGTCTACATTGAAATGATCGTATTGTTGATATACTTGAAGAAAAGCGTCAGAAACTTCCTAATAGCTTGGTGGATTCACTAGATATTGAAAACCAAAAATAAGGTTATGAACAGTATTGTCAGATAAATTATTAATAGGTTGATTATCAAGGTGTTTAAAAAGTCTAAGGGTTGCTTGAGAATAGTTAGTACTAGGATAATTATTATTAAGCCAATTTACAAAATTGACAAAACAAAAGGATGGGTGTTCAGTTACAGGATAACAAACTGGATATGAAAAATCAGGAAAATTTTGATAAAAATAATTAACAATTTCAGGGTTATCAGAAAACGTTCTATGATATCTATCATATAACTGATTTAATCCTAAATGAATATCAAAGTCATTCATAGATAAAAGTAAATTTTATAGTATAGTCCACACAACTGGCACCATATGTTACTATCAAGATTTGGTAAAATGAAAAGCAACACTTAATGATGCCAATTTTAACTCTGATAGTAAACTTGGAAGTAAGATAGAATAATAAATTTGTATATTAAACAAGATATCAAAATTATGTAAATTCAATATTTATTAGATACATTTGTTATATGATTAATCAAGAGTTTCTTTATTATAGAAATAAATAATGAAATAAATATAAATAAATAAGTAATCAAATAATCAAAGAAAGGAGGAAATAAATAAATAAAGAAAAGTAAACAATAAAGATCTTTCAAGTGAGAATTCGAATCCTAAACTATTAAAAGGATTATATCGAAGACTAAGGCTCAAGAAAAGGATGAATCGAAAGTCTATATATACAAGTTGAGACACTAAAGATGTGCAATAAGGGTACCATTTAGATCTTGATTCTAAGAAAGCACTAAAGAATATCTCATAAATTAGTGTAATTTAGTATGAAATAGTATGAAGTAACAAAATGAGATAGAACGAAATAAAAATAAGGAAAATCACGTGTTAATCGCAAGGATATTATCACTGATCAAAGATCATGTGAAGAAGAGACGAAAAATAGAATACTAACAATAATGAAAAAGGAAGTTTGTGAAACAACTATAAAAAAATCCGATCATATTAATTTTATCATATGGTATAACTTATATTTGTTGATCATTTAATATCGCATACCCCAATGTCGGTTCCATAAGTAATATCCGATAACTTGTCATTTCTGATATCTGATATGCAATTTTGGTTGATTATAGTAGCATGAGTGCATCTATTTGCGCAACAGATCATGTTCTAAGCACATTCAACCAATCAGAATTAATCACTGGCCAATATACACATAACCAATTTTTGCAATCTTTTTAAAAATTTAGAATGAAGTTTTCTAAATAACTACACGGCAAAATTCTATAAAACTTTTTTTCATTTTAATTCTACACATACATACAATTAAGATAAAAAAACTTTTATCAAATTTTGTCTGATAGTTATCGAGAAAAGTTAAAAAAATCTGTTCCGT